AAAACAAAACAAAACAAAAAAAGTATCCTAAATGTGGGATGTGAACCAACAGTGGACAGAACCCAGCAGCCTGCAACACAGCTTAATACATGATCAGTTGAAAGTGATTGGCACCTGTTTCATCCTACCTCGCAGAAGAAAATATTATCTGTAGCCTCTCCACTTTTTTTATGCACAAATTCAGTTTTCAATTAAAATTTTCTAGGCATGTCAAGGCACAGGGCTAGTTGACTGAAAATAAAGACAAAAGACAACAAAAACAAACCCATGGATGAATCACATATTGGAGTTAGCAGGCAAAACTGTACAATAACTACAATTAACATGTTCAAGAAAATAGAGAAAAAGAAGTAAAATATAGATGAAAGGATGGAGGATTTCACCTGAGAATTAAGCTTTGTAAGAAAATTAACTACAACTAAAAAATAACTAAAATTTATAATTCAATAGATTAAAAGTAGATTAGACACAGCACGAGAGGATTAATGAGCTAGAAGATAATTCAACATAAAACATCCTAACGAGCACAGAGAAAAAAATGATAAAGCAGAAAACAGAATAAGGCATATGAGACACAGATGACAACAGTCCAACATACGTGGAAATGGAGTCCTAAAAGGCAAGAAGAGAGAATGCCACAGAACAGAATTCTCCAAAATTGATGAAAGATACCCAGCCACAGTTTCAGGAATCTTTGAACTCCAAACAGGAAAAATGCCAAGCAAAACCAACTTAAGCACAGCATTATGAATCTGCTGAAAAAGAAGACAAAAAATTTTAAAAATCAGCCAGAGAAAATATTCACATTATCTTCAAGATATGGACAGCTGACTGCAACAGAAATGAAGCTGGAAAAAGTGGAGTGACAGAGTAATTGGAAAAACAAACTGGCAACTTATATTTTAAAGTCTTAATGTTTTAAAACAATAGTCAAAACATGATTTAAACATGTGATCATGTATAGTGATGTGATCAATATAAATTATTAAATAATTAAAAATTATTAATCTTACAAGTATACTTTTTTTCCTAAATATTCAGGCTCCTCTGTGTTACCCTTCCAGCCTCTCTCCGTTTGGATTCAGCATGTTCCAAGAGCCACATGTGACTCCTGGCAACCATATTAGACAGCAACTTATAAGAACAAAAGCAAAATGATGACATTTTCAGATTAACGAAGACAGTGAGAATTTACTGCCAGCAGGAATCACTAAAAGAAATACTGAGGAAAGTTCTTTGGGCAGAAGAAAATTTATTCCAGATGGAAATAAAGAAAGGTATAAAGACTATATATAGAGAGAGAATACACGTATATACAGTAAAGCCTTGGATTGTAACTTGTTCTGTGTTTGGCAAGACAAGCAAACATTTCTAATAAATTTTAACTTGATAAATGAGCAATGTCTTGCAGTATGAGTAGTACATGATGCTGAATGTCACATGATCACAACTGAGCCAATGGTTCTCTCTCTCACTCGCTCGCTGCAGGATTGTGGGTGATCGCCTCCCATGCTCTGAGGTTATGGAGGAGATCTCGTCTGCAGAGGAGGAGAAAAAGGCGGAGGAATACCTCACTTCAAATGAGATTAGGGAGGTGTGTAAAATGTGGGAAACAGTGCAAAATTTTGAAGAGCACCACCCAAATAAGGCTGTAGCAGCGCGAGTGATGAATCTAATGACAATGCGATGTCACATTTCTGCAAAACCCTCAAAAGGAGGCTAGAGCATGTGTCATTGAATAGGATCCTTATGAAAGTTGCACGAAAAGATTCCATTGAGCCAATAGACAGCAGTGACTCCGTTAGTGACAGTGCGAGTCCTACACAACAACCCTCCTCTCTCATCTCCCTCACACCAGCTGCAAAGGTTTTCAAAGGTAAGTACAGGTTAATTTATTTTTCTTGATATTTTGCATTGTCTTTATTATTTTGTATTATATTACAGTATTGTAATCATTTTTATATGAGTATTTTTGGGTTGTGGAACGAATCATCTCAGTTTCCATTATTTCTTATAGGGAAACTCACTTTGATATACAAGTGCTTGGGATTACAAGCATGTTTCTGGACGAATTATGCTCGCAAACCAAGGTTTTACTGTATCTGGAATTTTATATATCATATAGATATATGAATGATAGCATTTTATGCTATAGTATTTTTCATGTAAAAATTGTGGTAAAGTATAATACAAAATTTACCATTTTAATCCTTTTCAAGTGTACAATTAAGTGGCATAAGCTAATTTCACCATGTTGTACCACCAACATTGCTATCCATTTCCAGAACATTTCATCGCAAACAAACTCTGTCCCCAATAAATATTACTACCACTTTCCCCTCTCCCCGCAGCTCCTGGTAACCTCTTTTCTACTCCATCTCTGTGAATCTTTACTCCTCTAGGGGCCTTGTATAAGTGAGATCACAGTGTTTTTCCTTTGTGTCTGTCTAGCTTATTTCACTGAGCAGAATGTTACCAAGTTTCCTCCATGTGGTACATTCATTTTAAGGCTGAATTATATCCACTGTATATACTACACACATTTTATCTATTCATCTGTTGATGGACATTTGGGTTGTTTTCACCTTTTGGCTACTATAAATAAATGTTGTCATGAACAGTGGTGTGTAAGTGTCTGCTTGAGTCCTTGCTTTCAATATTTTTGGGTATCTACCTAGGGGTGAAATTGCTGGGTTGTATGGTAATTCTATACTTAACTTTTTGAGGAACCTCCATGCTGTTTTCCACAGCATCATCATTATACTATATTTCTAGTAGCAATGCACAAAGGTCCCACTTTCTGTATTTCCTTGTTAGCATTTATTTTCTGTTTTTGCTAATAACCTTTCTAGTGGATTTCATGCTCTTTGTGGTTTTGATTTACATTTCACTCATGACCGATGATGCTGAGTCCTTTCATGTGCTTATTGACCACTTGTATATCTTTTTTGGAGAAATATCTATTTCAGTCCTTGGACAATTTTTAAATTGTGTTGGTTTTTCTTTGTTCTTGTAGAATTGTAGGAACACTTTGTGTATTGTGGTTATTAGTCCTTTATCAGATAGATGACTTGCAACTGTTTCCTCCTATTCTGTGGTTTGTCATTTCACTCTCGATAGTTTCCTTTGACGCACAGGTTTTTAATTTTAATGAAGTAGAATTTATCTATTTTTCCTTTTGTTTCCTGTTTACGGTGTCATATTTAAAAATCATTGCCATAGCCAAGGTTGTGAATATTTGCCTCTGTTTTCTCCTAAGAGTTTTATAGTTTTAGCTCTTATATCTAGGTCTTTGATTTTTGCATATGGTTTAAAGACGCAACTTCATCCTTACGCATATGAATGTCCAAATTTCCAAGCACCATTTGTTGGAGAGACCTTTCTTTCTCCACTGGTCTTGAAACCTTTGTTGAAAATCATCTGACCATAGAGGTTAGAGGTATATTTCTGGGCTCTCGCTCTTATTCCATTGGTCTGTATGTATGTCCTTGATTCTTGTACCTTTAGAATAAGTTTTCAAATTGGGAAGTGAGTCTTCCAACTTTGTTTTTTTTGTTTGTTTTTTTAGCTGAGCCATCCTGCCACCTGTAGGCAGCTCGTCGGCAGCTCAGCTCAGGTGGGACTTGAACCATGCTGTTGCTCAGAGCTCACACTCTTGAGCGAGCTCTTAACCAACTGAGCCACCCGGCCGTCCCTGTTCTTTTTTTTTTTTTTTAAGATTTTACCTATCCTGGGTCACTTGAAATTCCATACAAATTTTAGGATTTTTCCATTTTCGTAAAAATTGTCAGTGGGATTTGGTAGGGGTTGCATTTATCCTCTATATTGCCATGTTAACAATGTTGTCTTCCAGTCCATGAGCATGGGACGTCTTTTTATTTATTTATTTAGATTTATTTCTCTCAGCAATGTTTTGTACTGATATTTATTTAAATGATGTTTTTGGTGTACACATTTTGCACCTACTGGGTTAAATTTATTCCTAAGTGTATTATTTTTTATGCTATTGAAAATGGAATTTTCTTAATTTCCTTTTCAGATTGTTGATAGTGTAATAGAAATACAATTGATTTGTGAGTTTGTATCCTGCAAGTTTGCTGAACTCATAAGCTCGAACAGTTGTGTGTATTGTGGATTCTTTAGGGCTTTTACATATAAGATCATGCCATCAGCAAACAGATACTTTTCCTTTTTCATTTACAATTTGGATGCCTCTTCTTTCTTTCTTGCCTAATTACTCTGGCTAGAACTTCCAGTGTTATGTGGAATAGAAGTGAGGAAAGTGGGCATCCTTGTCTTGCTCCTGATATTAGGGGAAAAGCTTTCATTCTTTCACCATTGAGCATGTTAGCTATGGGCTTTTCATATATGGCCTTTATTATGTTGAGGCACTTTCCTTCTATTTTTTGTTGAGTGTTTTTATCATGAAAAAGGGTGTTGGATTTTGTCAAATGCTTTTTCTGCATCAGTTGCGATGATCACGTATGCTTTTTCCCTCTACATTCCATTCATATGCTATATTGCATTGATTTTCATAGGTTGAGCCATCCTTGCATTCCTGGGAGAAAACACTCTTGGTCATGGTGTGTACTTTTTATCTTTTAAGATTTTGTTGGGGCATTGGGGGAGGGGAACAACATTGGGGAAGGGGAACAGACACATTGCTGTCCTTTTGTTATTCAGTCTAGTTGTGGAAGATGCCACTTCACTGGCCCATGTTGGTATTATCGTTGCACTTTTCCCAGGTGAGGCAGATCGGTCGCTGGCCACTGGACGGCTGGCTGCTCATGGTGGCTCTTGGCAGCTCACGCCGGCTGCCAGCCACTCACGGTAGCTTTACGGCAGCCCACTGCAGCTCCACTGCAGCCTACGCCGTCGCCAGCAACTCACAACAGCCCAGTTTCAGGTCAAGCTGTTGTTCTCCATCTTAGCTGTAGAGGGCGCAGCATCACCGGCCCTAATGTGGGATCCGAACCGGGGCCCTGCTGCTCAGAGCTGGTGTCCCAAGCCAGCTCTTAACCAACGTGCCACTCGGCCTGCCTGTGTACTCCTTTTTATATGCTACTGAATTCAGTTTGCTAGCACTTTGAGGATTTTTGTGTCTACATTCTTAAGAGATATTACTGTGCTTTTCCCCCCCTTTTCCTGTAGTGTCTGTGTGGTCTCAGTATCAGGATAATACTGACCTCACAGAATGAGTTAGGAAGTGTTGTGCCCTTGTCTTAGCATTTTTGGAAGAATTTGGAAAACATTAGTGTTAATTCTTTTCTACATGTTTGACAGAATTTACTACTGAAGCCATCTGGTCCTGGGCTTTTTTTGTTGGGGTTTTGAGTATTATTTGAATATCACTTATTTGTTCTGGAATCAGTTTTGGTAGTGTGTCTAAGAATTTATCCATTTCATCTAGATTATCCAATTTATTGGCATACGGGTATTCATAGTCTTTTATAATTCTTATTTCTGAGAAGTTCAGTAAAGTCTTCTCTTTCATTGATTTTAGTAATTTGAGTCTTCTCTTTTGTTCTGAGTCAATTTAGCTAAAGGTTTGTCAATTTTGTTCATCTTCACAAAGAAACTTGAACTTGATTTTCTCACTTTTCATTCTCAACTTCATTTATCCCTGCTTTAATCTTTATTATTGCCTTCCGTCTGTTAGCTCCGGGTTAGTTTGCTTTTCTTTTTCTAGTTCCTTAGGCACACAATTAGATAGCTGATATGACCTTGTTTTAAAGTAGATGTTTATAACTATAAATGTCCCTTGAGCACTGCTTTCACTGTGTCTCATACATTATGGTATTTATGTTCTTACTTTCACTCTTCTCCAGGTATTTTCTAATTTCTTTGTGATTTCTTCTTTGACCCATTGGTTGTTTAAAGTATTAATTTCCACATATTTTTTAGTTTTCCTGAATATTCATACCCCAAAACCCAGTAATTTCACACTGCAGTGTATGCCCAAAAGCTATGTGAGCAAAGCCGCATCAAATGAGAGACAGAACGTTCACTTTGGGCTGTTAACAGCCAAACGCTTCAACAGGTGAAAGAACGGCTAGACCTTCCAGAAGCATATTCATCTAACAAAACACTATACAGCGAGAAAAATGAACAAACTACACAACAGGAACCAATTTCAAATAATTGAGCAAAAGAAGCCATCCCTTTCCAAAAATACATATTAAATAATTCCATCTATTTAAGGTTCAAAGAACAGGCAAGACTAAATTATGCAATTGAGGCTGTATGTTCTGCTAATTATACTTATAGTCAAGAGTAATTTCTGTTCAAGTCAGAATAGCGATTACCTGGGGGGAGAAGGCAGAGTGTGCTGACTGGGAGGGAGGACATGGAGCTCCCAAGGCGCCAGCAGTATTATTTCTTGTTGCAGTTGGTTGTTTCATGGGAATTTGCTTAATGGTAATTCACTGAGCTGTACATTTGCAGTAGTTCAGTAAGGTGGTATTTTGTGTGTGCTATACTTCACAGCATAAAAGATAAATATAGTGGCCTTGAGCTGGTAAAAACCTTAAACACGTCACAAAAGCAAGGATAAATACTTTCTAGATGAACCGACCTTCATCCAGGTCTCAAAGAAGTTCCAGAGTAGACCAAATCACATGGGTTCAAAGCACAGGAAAAAGAAGTGCACAGAACACACGGACAAGGAAGTCCTCATTCGTGAGAGCAAGCAGCAATAAAAGGCTTCAGAATTGGACCCATAGATTTTGGATACAGGAATGAACATATACAGAATATGAAATCAACACATCTCTAATAAAACTGATGGAAAAGGGAATGCATAAATTAACATTAATGATAAAATGATGCTGCAGAGATTGTATTTTATGAAACTTCATGCCAAAAACTTGTAGAAATGAAGTGTATAAATTCCCTGTAACTTAACACAACTGATTTTACAAAATGTGAATAGTTCTCATTTTTAAAAAAATGAATCAGTATTAAAAATATTTCCTTAATGAGAAGAGCAGCTTAGAGGTCTTATTGATAAGTTCTACTAACATTCAAGGAACAAATAATTCAAATCCAGGGTATGGAGAGAGTACTCCTTAATCTTGTAGGGAACTAGCCTTACTGTGAAACCAAAATCTGACAAAGACAGTGTTAAGAAAGTGATAGGTCCGGATTTTGAAAAACCCTAAGCTAAATATTAGAAAAGCAAAGCAATATATAGACAGACAAAACTTCACAAACAAGTTGAATTTATACAAAACATGCAAGGCTGATGTACACAGAAAAAATGTGACTATTGACTGCTCAAAGGGGACCAATCCTATATCTCAATAAGTAGGAAAAGAACCGATAAGGTCAGACATTTACAACAAAACAGAAATAAAAGGCGAATTCCTGCCCCCTGGATGAAAAAGGAACCTCTCTAGTCTGAGAGTTGTCTAACAAGAACCCACAGCACACACGTTCTTGGTGAAAACACTGAAACACAGATGTCCACCAGCACCATGTTGTACAATAATGTACTGACTGGGGGCCATCAGCATGTTCAGGAAGAGAACGGTTCCAGAATTAGGTGATGTGCAGTTCCTTGCAGGTGATGTGGTTGTGAACGTAGAGAAGCCAACAGAATCTAGACTCTTCTTGGAATAAGGAGTTGGCAAGGATACTGGATATACAATTAACAGGCAAAAACCAATTAAATTTCTTTATGGCGACAACAAAAAACTAGTTAAGACAGACACAAGTTATAAGTGTCAAAGAAAAAAATTAGAAACTAACCAGGTCTTCGCCAGCCTTGGAGGCCCCATTGGTCAGCCTGTGGATACAAGCTCCTGGCCTCACAGGCTCTCCACACCTAGGATCTTCACGATCAAGTTAGACACTGTGGGCCCTGGGGGGCCACCCAGGAAGTGTCTGCAAAACCTGTGCACCAGAAAGGTCTCAGCACATCACAGGGCCTGGGCTCGGGGCCTTTCCTTTCCTTTTTCTAGAGAACTCTCTGGAACTTGAGTGCAGCTCAGCGCCCCCTGCTGCTCCTTTGGACTCCTGTGCCTCACCTCTGCCAGGTTTGATTTTCCCCTGGCCTGGGGACTATGTCCCTCCGTGAATGCACAACCCAGGAAGGCAGCACCATAGCCGGGTTTCTTGATACCCGCCAGAGCTGAGTGCAGTACCCAGAGTAGGGCAGACAGTAAGCATTTTTTTTTTAAAGATTTTATTGGGGAATTGGGGGTGAACAGTGTTAGGGAATTGGGGAAGGGGAGCAGCCAAGTTGACCTTCAATCTGAGTTGTGGAGGGTGCAGCAAGCTCAGCTCCAAGTCCAGTTGCGCCGCTCAGGTCAAGGTGCTGTGTTCAATTAGTTGCGCGTGGGTGAAGCCAACATGTCAAACAGGCAACCTTGTTGTTAGGAGCATGTGCTCTCACCAGCTGAGCCATCCTGCCACCTGTTGGCAGCTCAGCAGCAGCTCAGCTCGGGTGCAGCAACACTGGCCCATGTGGGAATCGAACTGGCGACCCTGTTGTTCAGAGCTTGCACTCAAGTAAGCTCTTAACCAACTGAGCCATTTGGCTGGCCCCTACAGTAAGCATTTTACTGTGTTGTCACCAACCACCTCCTAGAGGCCAGCCTCTGAAGGTTGGCTGTCATTCACCCGAGCCCCAGGCACCCCCCACGCTGGCTTGCTCTCCCTGTGCTCCACCCGAAAGGCATGGAGAGCGGGGAGGGGAGGGGAGGTCTATCATCACCAGCTCTGGAAACCCCAGGCTCGTCCTGTCTTCAGCCTCCCTGGCACACCACACACTCCTGTGTCCCCACGCGGAGAGCAAACTGTGTCTGGGTGGCCGGAGTGGCGGTGCACTATGCTGGCACTGGCCAAAACAACAGCAAGCCCCACAGCCAACTCGCTCTTTAGGGCTGAGGCTATGTTGGCTCCATTGAGGAGGCTGGGGCTGCACCTGCAGCTCTGCTGCCCAGAATGCCCAACAAGGGCCTCGAGCCTGCCTAGGTGGGCAGCCTGCCAAGTACCCCCACATGCAAAACGCACCACAGGTGAGGCAGACACGAATCACACACCTTGGGCAAAAGGCGAGGATCGATCCCAAAGAGTGAAGGACTGCACAAAAAGGATACTTGGTTCAAATTATTAGTTTTATTTCCATCTGTAACACTAGAAGAGGATCCAAAACAGACTGACTCCATGGATACAGTTTAAATGGGACAAAGAAAGATCTGGACTATGTACACGGGGAGGGGGGGCGGGCTTTTTTCACACCAACCTTCCAATTTCAGTTTCTGAACCGTAGAAACGAAATACTTTATCCAATTTAATCTAGTATGAAGAAACACAACTTTTATGATCAACTGTTTGTCCTTAAGCATAAAACGTGAGATTCTGACCACATGGTCATCTTGGCTCCTGAAGTCGGGGTAATGTCAGAACGTAACAAAAGAGCGCTCTCATGAAACGCAGAAGGGACGAGGCGGCAAGGACCAGTGGGAGGGCGGACGCCGCACACACTGCTTGGTGGCAGCCGCTGTCCTGCGCCCCTCCGCTCCAAGTACCGAACGACTTTCACTCTAACTACCTGGAAGTGAGCCAGAATGCAGAATGAAACAGAGGAGGGACACTCCTTCAGCCCCGTTTAAAGTGATCTGTGCCGAGTCCCTGCTCCTTCAGAAGAAAAACTGAAGGCCAGTTATTGCTGCAAAGCCAGACGCGGCTCCTTCCCGCTGTGAAGACGTTTCGCTCAAAGGCTGCTGCTTTGGCTTGGAGCCCCGTGAGGAGAGTTACAGGTGCAGGCAGGCTGGACTGCAGACCTGTTCTCACGTTTCCCCAAGCCCTGTGCTGAGGGGCAGCTCGGCCACACTGGGGCCTCCGACGACCCGAGGCTCTCACACCTGAGGCGTTACCTGGGCTCCTTGGTGAGGTCACCAAAACCTAGGGGTAGTCCAAGCCCAAAGGGTCACAGCCCAAACGGCCAGAGAGCAGCTTCTGAAATGAATGTCAGCTGGCGGGGTGGGTGGGAAGGCCAAGGCGTGCCAGCCAGGCGCATGGGCCGAGCTCTTTGAGACCCGGGGCAGCTGGGACTTGGGCAGCAGCGTAGAGATGGCGGCTGATAAGGCCACAAATACTGCCGCCTTCTTCCAGGGTCCCTGCTGACAGGACATCAGGCAGCGGGGACTGAGGATGGAAGGCATGTGGCACTCAGGGCGCTTTTTATCAGAAGGGAGGACACCCGGCCACACGCCTGCCCCACTGACCCTGGGTGGCGGGTGCCAGGTGAGGGACTCTGGGCCCGGGAAGTTCCTGAGAACAGTTGGTGGACGGGACAGGCACTGCTCCAGAGGCACCACAAGGCCTGAGGGACATGGACAGTGCTACATCTCCTGGGCGGCTGAAAGGAGGCTGAGAATTGGCTTTATTGCACATTTCCTCCTTAATAACTGGGGACTGCCCTGCAGAGATCCCTGCACCTCACTGCAAAGGTGTCGGCGGAGTCACGGTCACCTCTGACTCTCAGGGAAGAAAAAAGTCCAGTTATTGGTCCTTCTGGGGCCACTCGCACCTGGGGTCCTCGGGCCGATGGACCGTGTCTGGCTTGGTCACTGGCGGGCAGACGCCCGGGACGAGGTAGCACGCCCGGGAGAGCTGGACAGACCAGCTCGCACTCTGACCAGGCCCCTCGGCGAGGACACTGCCAGTAGGAAACCGGGGCAAACTTCTTGGCAATCGTGCAGGTTCTGGGAAGAGGCTGGAACCATGATTCTCAGTCCCCATGTACCCAACTCGTGCTCCCAGCCTGGGACTGTTCCAACGACGGGGCGGAGTTGTGGACTCCGGCCTGGCGGGGCCCTGGCTCGGCTCCACAGCGTCCCACCAGAGGTCACGCAAGGATGCCAGGGGGTGGAAACAAAAGAGCAGTTTACGTGTCACACGTTGGCTTTGAAACAGTGTTTCTGAGTTCGGGAAACGGGGCAGAGGCCTCGGAGGGCCACCCCACGCGCCCTCTCTCCCGATTGGCCCTCAGCACTTCATATATAAATGGGGTGGTAGCGTTTGTGGGTGATCTTTTTCCTGCAGGTTGGGCAGGTGTTCGCATTTTTGAGGGAATCTCGGAGGCACTGGCTGCAGAAGACATGGCCACACTCTGTAGAGACAATGAGACGTCCATTCTGCACAATCTGGAAGACACAACAAGGACCAGCTTCATAGGCGCCCTTGTCCAGAGCAGCAGCTCCCAGTCTCACCGGTGGTGCCCAGAGACCCGCCCCCGACCATGCGACGTGACAGGGCCGGACTGCCCCAGGAGGGCAAGGAAGTGGCGTGGACAACTAAGGACACCTGTGTACACCCAGGCACCACTGGGGTCCCCGTGCCGGCAGCACATGCAAGAGCCAGGCTCCTGGCAGCAGCAGCCCGAGGGGTTGGGAGTTGAGGGCCCCTGGGCCCCTGAACCCATGGGCCTAGAGAGATCACAGCTGCTGTGTGGCACACGGTGGGGCAGTGCTGAGGGCTCAGGGGCCAGATGGGAAGGCTGCAGGGCCCATTCTCCCTTCACACACAGCTATATGACAAGCCATGTGCCAGCCCAGGCGTGACTGCATTAGAGGGATCACATCCCACCTACGGAGGTGGCCTCTCATCTCGTCCTGCTGCCGAAACGGCTGGGAAGACACATGGGGTTTGCTTACCTCCGAGTACCCGTCCATGCAGATGGGACAGCTGACAGTCCCCGAGGGCCTAAAATCACAGTGCGTCAGGTCAGTCCCTGCCTTGGAGGGCCGGCGGGCCCAAGGGGTGCAGTGGGGGCCCACGCAAAAAAGGATGAGACAGGACGAGAGATGGCAAACAACTCGAGTTGCCCTGTCCCCCGCCCCCGAAGCATTCCTGCAGGACAAGGCTGGGGGGCCATTGGGTCTGTTCTCATCAGGCGGAGGGGTTGCCACCAGCCTGGGGCATTCACACTGCACCTGCACCTGCACCCCTCAACTGGGCAGACGCTTCAACAAGCCCTTCTCGAACCATGGGCTCAGGACACCTGCTGAAAGGCCAGTGTTCCTAACACCCGGGGCCCCTACCCATTGGGAAATGGAAGTGGGGAGAGGATCCCCACTCCAGGGGCCAAGGGTGTCCCATGTGGCCAGGGGCTTCCTGGTGACAGAGCAGTCCCCAGCCCGGGGGCAGCAGGGCGGTGGGCACACAGGTACCTTAGTCCTGTAGCTGCCTCTTCCCTGGCGTTTCTGGGAGTGTGGGTGGTCACATACACATCTCTGTCCCTGGACAGCTCCTCGTCGTCACTGCTCACCACGCAGCTGTCACCGTGATCCTGGCGCTGCCTCCTGGCGGTCCTGGTCGGCCGCCTCCTTTCTAAGGTGTGAGTCCCAGCTCAGGGCACAGGCCTCCCAGCCCCACCACCGTCACCACCTCACAAAGGCCACGCCCAGCCACACCCGGGGACCTGCCCAGCTGCATACCACCTGGGTGACAGCTTTCCCCAGAGCCCAGGGGCCTGTAGCCCAGCGCCAGGGGTGCCGTTTTCCCAGCAGGCACAGGGCTGACAGCAGGTGTGACCCCCACCCCCACCCCCGACGACGGTCTCTTCCCACCTGGCCTTCTCGCACCATAGCTTGGGAGAGGCCTGCAGCGCCCTCCCCCACCCGATGTCAGTTCTCCATCCCATCCCAATGAAAGAGGAAACTACTCACCATCAACAATCTTTTAAAAAGGAGAAAAAAGAGAAAGACACAATCAGTTTGATACAAAGCATTCAGTATTTTTTTGAATGTGTAAATGATAAAATGGAAATATTTGTTTCAAATGCAAAATTCCCCGCAGGGGGGCCAGCACAGCCTCCCACAGGGGCGGCAAAGGCTGCCTCTGCCTCCCCACAGCTGCTGGCGGTGTGACCTGGGGAAGTTACCCTCTGGGAGCCAGCTTCCTCTTCTGGGAAATGGCACTGTGCCCACAGCTCACCTCTGTTGTGAGGACTAAGTGAGACAATGCCTGGGCCCCAGGGTCACGGGGCCCACAACTAGCTCCACGCTGAAGACAAGAATCAGGACTCCACTTCCTGGGAGGGTGCACACTGCTCGATACATTGTTAAAAATAATTAACTAAACACCAAAAGTAGGGCATGCAGGGACCATGGGGAGTGGCAGGCACCAAGGACTGCCATCAATGCCATCCCGCATTCTTGAGGCCCAGCAAGACGTGAACGAGAGCTAGACAAGCCCAGCGTCTGACTGCTCTGACTCCTTCCAACTGGTTTGTGACAACAGTTTCCCAGCAGGCCAGTCAGCTCAGGCCCTCGCCCTCCACTCGCTGTGTGCTGCCACCCGCTTCTCCTCGGTTCAGTCAGGGCAGGGGCACGGGCTACCCTGTCCTACAGAGAGGCCCCCACGGCAGGGCAAAGCCAAGACCTCCGCGGTCACTCGAGACATGCCCCTCCTGCCATTGCTCCTCCCGGGGTTACAACCGCTGCTGCTTCAACAGCTGAAGTAGCTTCCCGCTCCAACCTGAAGCAACAGGTACAAATCGCTCTCGGGAAGGAAGGTCTGCACTTGGCAGATGGAGCTCCTGAAGGGGACTGTAAGTGAAACTGGGGACAGCCGACCTCATCCTCAGGGCCATGTTACTGGAAGGAAAGCTTGGCTGGCACAGGTGCAGTTCCTATGAAGTTCTAGAAAAGGGGAAGAGACCCTTCTGCTGTGGGCGGGTGCAGGTGACCCTGGCTTTCCAGAGCGCCAACACCTTCACCTCCCTCAGTCCAGATGGACCATGGACCAGGTGTGGATACACCTGTGAGGGATGTGACGCCACAGGGCTCCATAGGTTCTTGTGAGTCAGACCCAGCTCACGTCCCGGCAGCGCCAAGCTCAGGGCCAGACCCAAACACTGAGCCCCCAGGAAGGTCCACATGCTCCCCAGGCCCAGCACACTGCTAGCACATGGCAGTTGCTGCGTACCTAACTACTGGGTAAATGGGCACACCGGGACCTGGAGATGACTTTGCTCAGAGAGGAGGCTTCCTGCCCAAGGGCAGAAAAGAAGGGTGCCCCAGCCTGGCCTCCCAGCTCCATGCCCAGCCCGTGCCCCTGTGCCACCTCCGAGCTGATGGGCAGGTACTCCCTCCACCCAGCGGCCAAACCACTGCCAATCCAGGATCCCAGCCAGTGTCTGCAAGTGTGCTGGGGACGTCCCTTCCTCCTGGCTGGAGTGTGTAGGTAGCACAGTACTTGCCTGGGGGCAGGGTGACTACAGGAGCAAACAGACAGATACAGGGACAGCACAAGCTCTGGAGCCCCTTCCTCTGGCTGCCAGGCCTCCGAAGAAACAAAGAACCAAACCAAATCAACAGCCAGTCACCAGCCCTGGGTCTGAGCAGCCGAGTCAGGACTGGTGAGCTGGCCCAAGATCAGACCCACGCTCTCCACGGAAGCCTGGCTTCTCCTTCTCGGCCACGGAAAAGCTCAAGTTAGACATGATCAGAGGGGCACGGAGACATCTGGAGAACAGGCGTTGGGCACCTGTGGGCACCTGGGTACACTGACTCCAGGCAGGCGATCCCTTCGAGCGTCTGAAGCACAGGTGAGCCTCAGAACACCTACAAGGGCTGACACCTCTGTCATAGGCCCCTGGTCAGCGGGGAGGACGAGCCCGTCTACCAGTGGACAACACACCAGGCATTCTAGGTACCTTCTCGGGCTGCAGCAATATGCTGGGTGAACAACAGGGCAGAACCATGGAGCGGGCACCACTGGCGTCCTCTGACCAGCTGAGCCCTGGCATTTCTAAGAATGCTCACCCAACCCAGAGCTCAGAGGGCCACTTGCTTTAGGCGATCTTCCCACTCAGCATCACATGTCCCACTGGAGAAAAACCACCATCTCCAAACGCCATGCACACCAAAGGCTGCTCGTCAGGCCCCATCGCCGCGCACGTCACGCCGTCACACACACTGTTACTGCAGCGTTGCCAGGGGCGCCAGAGAAGAGAGAGCTGTCATCACGCTCCAGTCCCGACGGGTTCCGCAGCAACTGTCTCCCCAGCTCCCGGCCACAGCGTCTGAGCGCTTCTCTCATCCGATTAAGCGGGTCTGCTCACTCTGGCAGTCACTGGGTGCCCCTCGTGCCCTTTTCCACCCGCTGACGGAGATGGGCAGGGCCTTTCAATAGTCTCATAAAGGAGTCGCCAGGCGGTGAACGGACACGGCACTAACGGACGACCCACTAGTGCGCGACGGAACCAGACCAAAAGACTCCAGGAGAACGAAACTGACGTTAAAAAAACAATCTCTTGAAATTTAATGAGGGACAACAGTCCAAGAAAATACCATTTTTAATAACACCCCCTTAAAGTCTCAGTTCTTAAAGAGGGAGCCAGTCTTCTTCCATCACTGCACCACTTCTAGCCCGAGCAGAGACTGGCAGACTGCAAATGCTCAGGAAAAGTGGCCTGAACATTTTAATTCACCTATTAAACCAGGTAAGAAAGGAAGATGGACAAATATAAGCAGAGATTTCCAATAAATGGCAGACTAGTATTTCCATCAATTTTCCCACTGAAAACAACAAAATGTTGAGATAAAACATACATATTTTAAAGTAAAAAGGTATCCAAAAAAGGTATTCGGTCAAAAATAAAGGGAATATAATAATTCAGACAAAAAAAGAAAAAAGAAAACAATAGAAAATTCTTGAAAAATTGAAGAGTACTTTTGATTGCCTCACACAGAAACCAAAGCCCAGGCAGGAGCAAGTTACCTCGTGAAAGCCAGCCACCCCGTGGCAGGCCAGGGGACAGTAAGTCTCCGTGAATAGCAAAGTACTGACAAACAATGTATTTTCTGACCGATAGAGTAAAGATTAACAAAGAGAAAGAGCAAAAAAGAGAGACAGAGAGAGAATGAATTCCCTATGCATGGAAGTTAAAAAAGATGAATTTGATAAATGTCAAACTGAATGTATAAAATAAATAACAAAATTTGCAGGATATAGCTAAAGAAAATATAATCTTAAATTCATGTATTAGAAAAAAATGATGAAAATTAATGTTAGAAAAACAGTAAAATAAACTCAAAGAAATAATCAATGAATGAAAACAAACTTACAAGAGAAAAAATCCACAAAGCTAAAAGTTGGTCCTTTAAAAGATCTTTTTTTTTTTAACACCTTTTTTTTTAAGCTGAGCCATCCTGCCAACTGTTGGCAGCTCAGCTTGGGCCAGGACTCGAACCGCTGTTGCTCAGAGTTCAAACTCTTGAGCGAGCTCTTAACCAACTGAGTCACTCGGCCGGCTCAAAAGATCTTATAAAGCTGATGACTCTCATCTAAAAAGATGGAGAACACAAATAGCCAATATCAGAAATGAAAAAGGAGACATCACTACAGATCCCATGGAACATTAAGACATTATGAACAAATTTATGCCAATAAAACTGAAAATTTCAGATGAAATCGACATATTCTTAAAAACTGTAATTACCAAAACTCATTAAAACTCTGGGCTAGGTACCATCACTGTAGAGTTCTACCAAACGTTCAAAAAAGAAATTATTCCAATCTTACAAAATCTTTTGAAGCAGAAAAAAAAAAGGCACTCAATTCACTTTAGGAAGATACCAAAACCCTATAAGGAGTGTGTACTAAAGAAAAATTACAGACCAACCAATCTTACTCATAAAAATAGATGCAAAGATCATACAGTATAAAATATTTGCAAACTGAACCTAGCTATATACTATAAAAAGATGTCACTATCACAATGTTTAATCAGTTTAGCGCTAGAAGTCAATGTAATTGTCCACCTCAACATATGAAAGGGGAAAAATTATCATTAGATGGAATTGTTAAAATTCAACATTGATTCTTGATAAAACTTGTAGCCCAACAGGAAATAGGAATTTCTCCGATATGATAAAGGGTATAAACAAACAAAAACCCGGCGGCACAGGTCTTATTAATGGTGAAACTTGGAAAGGATGCTTTCCGACTTGGAATGAGACAAGAAAGTCAGTGACTGTCACCATTTTTATTCATCCAGTGCTTAGTTTTTTCAGCCAGTGCAGAAGGCAAGAAAAAAAAAGGAAATAACGTCTTCTGTGGCTTTACAAATCCAAAAGATTTACACATTAAGAATTGCTAGATTAGGGCCGGCCGAGTGGCGCGATGGTTAAGAACTCGCTTGTGATGCCAGAGGGCCCCGGTTCGGATCCCACATATGAGGGCCAGTGACACTGCCCTCCACAGCTAAGATGCTGAACAACAGCTCAACCTGGAGCTGGGCTGCCGGGAGTCGCCGGCGACGGCGTAGGCTGCAGCCCCTGTGGCAGTGGGTTGCCATGGGCTACCTTGTGTAGCCAGCAGCCAGCGTGAGCGGCCAGCAGCCGCAGTGAGCGGCCGTCCAGAAGCCGGCGACTGATCTGCCTCGCCAGAGAAGAGCGCGATGATGGTGCCAACTTGGGCCAGTGAAGCGACATCCTCCACAACTAGACTGAAGAACAAAACAACAGCAACTTGTCTGTTCCCCTTCCCCCAATTCCCCAGCACTGTTCCTATCCCCCTAATTCCCCAATAAAAATCTTTAAAAAAAAAAAAGAATTGCTAGATTAAAAAAAATCAATAGGTAAAATCAATTGCATTTTGTTATATGGGAAAATCATAAAAAACAATTTTAAAATATTTTGAATATCATCCTAAAATACTGTGTACCCAGGAATAAATCTTCTAACTAAAGACTTCAAAACCACACAGGGAACCTTATAAAACTTTACCGAGAGATGTTAAAGACCCCATCTCAAACTATACACAAAAGTCAATTCAGGCAGATTACAGACCTAAACATGAAAGGCAAAACAGTGAAACTTTTAGAACATATTGGGTTGTCAAAAAATTCATGATGTATTTTTTCTATGTTTTTCGTTGCAAAATGTGTCATGACTTTTCCAACAACCCAATAGAACGTATTTATTTTTTAAAGATTTTATTGGGAAATTGGGGGAGGAGAACAGACAAGTTGCTGTCCTTTTGTTCTTCAGCCTAGTTGTACAGGACGTCGCTTCAGTGGCCCATGTTGGTATTATCATTGCGCTCTTCCCGGGTGAGGCAGATCGGTTGCCGGCCTCTGAATGGCCGCTCACGGCGGCTCACAAAAGCTCACGCCAGCTGCCAGCCAGCCCCATTGCAGCCTACGCCGTCACCAGCGACTCACAGCAGGCCCAGCTCTAGGTTGAGCTGTTGTTCACCATCTTAGCTCTAGAGGGCGCAGCATCACTGGCCCTCATGTGGGATCCGAACCAGGGCGCTGCTCAGAGCTGGTGTCCCAAGCCAACTCCTAACCAACACGCCACTCGGCTGGCCCCCAATAGAATAGTTTTACGAGATTTTCTCCAACAAATTGATAAATTCAACTGTATTAAAATGAAAAACTTCTGTATATTGGCCAAAGAGAGAAAATGCAAGCCCCTGAGTAGGCAGTGCAAAATGTAACTAAATGGCAGACTTGTATCTACAACTTTACAAGGCAGATAACCCAAAGGAAAAATGAGCAGAAAAAAATTCACTGTTGGGTCGGCCGAGTGGCGCGATGGTTAAGAACTGGCTTGGGACACCAGAGGGCCCCGGTTCGGATCCCACATATGAGGGCCAGTGACACTGCCCTCCACAGCTAAGATGCTGAACAACAGCTCAACCTGGAGCTGGGCAGCTGTGAGTCGCCGGCGACAGCGTAGGCTGCAGCCCCTGTGGCAGTGGGTGGCCATGGGCTTCCGTGTGTAGCCAGCAGCCAGCGTGAGTGGCCAGCGGCTGCAGTGAGCGGCCGTCCAGAAGCCGGCGACTGATCTGCCTCGCCCGGGAAGAGTGCAATGATGGTGCCAACTTGGGCCAGTGAAGCAACGTCCTCCACAACTAGACTGAAGAACAAAACGACAGCAACTTGTCTGTTCCCCTTCCCCCAATCCCCCAGCACTGTTCCCATCCCCTCAATTCCCCCCCCCCAAAAAAATTCACTGTTAAAAAAAGACAAAGGGATCGCTTTGTTCAAGTTTAACTTCTTTAGCTATTCTACAAGCTGTATATACAACACGTAAAAAAACTTTTAAAATTCAAACAGGCACTTCAGAAAAGGGGTAAATGAACCACCAACAAACATGAAAAGGAAAACAAATTAAAACCACAGTGGGGTACTACAGGACAACCATCCATCAGACTGGCTCAAAGTCAAGTGGTGGGGAGGCCATGGGAGAATGAGAGCCCCAACACGGTGTGAAAGGAAGCCAGCGCAACCTCTTGGGAAAAGTTGGCATCAATGTTGTAAAAACCAAAGCTATCCACACCCTGGGACCCAGCAGTGACAGCCTTTTCTGGGTATGCAATGCCAAAAATAAGTTAATTTTGAGAGAAAATATCAAAGCAGAGATGCTCGAAGTCTTATGCATCTTACAGTATTTTTCATTTCTCCAAATCACTAGGGGCTTTGGATTCCTGAGAGTAGGAAAAACACAGTCTGCACCAAGTTTCTGACGCTGTCCGGGGTCCTGGTTTGCAGGGAATCGGCTTAAAGACACACAGCGACTCCCAGGCGGGGTTCAAGGTACACGCAGACTGTTCCCAAAGGGTCTGTGGAATTGGTAAGACCACCCAATCTGGGGATGGGCACATTTATCCATCTTGTACTCTCCTGAGGCGCCTGGGGCCTGAGGTCACCGTGAACTTGTGAGTGAGAATTTCAGTCACAGGTGTTTCTCCCCGTAAATTTTAAAACTGGCACTTGGATTTATTCAAATAACAACAAAAGGAACAGGATAAGGAGTAATATTTCATCCAAAACAATTGTTTTACAGCTGGGAGCATTGAGGCCACAGTAAGCTAAGTCCTCTGACCAAACTGACCAGCACACCTAGGACCAGAACCAGGACTCCTGCATGCCCTTTACCTATCCGCCGGCCTCAGACCACCCATCCTCTCCCAGGACAGCCGCCCCAACTCCAACCTTCCTGCCCATGCACCTGGGGAGAAAGGAAGAAGGAAGCTCGGGGAAGCCCATGAAGCGAGGCAGTCATCGAAACAAAACCAAGGTGTGGAAGGGGACATCATGACGTCTGTGTGTCACTCAACAGGGCCAATCGGTGTCTCCTTGACAGATAGTGAGGTCTTGCGAGCAGAACGCTGACTACCCCCCCGGGCCTGGCACCCTGGAGCGGAAAGACAGCACCACCATTATGTGTTAACCGTCAACGGAGCAGCAGGCTTCAGCCAGCTGCCAAATCCAGCTACCTGTCCAGAGGCCCAGGGCACCGCAGGGACTAGCAGCAAAGCCGTGTGTCTGTAAGGACCTCAGGACACAGGCCCAGCGGGGGACCACGTCCAGTTATACCCACTCTGACTATGTCACCAAGTGCCAGTCCATCTCTGGGAAACTGCTGCTCCTCTAGGAGCCCACGTCCCATCGCTGGGACAGTTTAACAGCTTGGTAAGGGCAGCTGCCTCTCCTTTGGGATGGGGGGTGGAGGGGGAGCATGAGGACAGGACGACATGGACACACGACTGGACAGCCCAGTGGTTTCAGATCAAGATCAGAGTCTAAGATCTCTGAATCTGTCAGGAAGTCCCATCCTCAGTCTTCTTTGTCCAGATCTCTTGGCAAACCTCTTGGCACAATCCTATTTGGCGTCAGGATAACCCCGAGACCAGCGGGCCTCAAGGAAAAACTCAGCCACTAGCCCACCGTACCTGCCACCCACTTTCCCAATGTTGCCAAACGTGCCATCACCTCCACTCCACAAACCGCACATTGAACCCAAGGCGCTAACGAGGCTTCCTGCACAGAGCAGACCATGGGAGGTGGGCCTGTGGGCTGAGCAGACCGCCAGCCCTTGCACAGGTGCGCACCCTGCCAGTCCCCACGCAACCTCCGAGCAGGCCAGGGCCGCACGGCACGCCCTGCCAGTGTCTGTAACTGGGGCCCTGGGAAGGGGGCGCCAGCAGCACCCCAGGCTCCATCCTCCGGGAGGCACAGCACAACCAAGGCATCAGGTGGCCATGCTGTGGGCCTGCGTCCTCCAGGACACTGCTCCTGGGACTTGAGCGCTTTCCCGGTGTGCTGCACCCCCCCCC